ATGCTCACTCTTCCCTAGGATGGGTTGTATTGACACCCGTTGTTGAAATAATTTTTTAGAGATTGCATGCGTTATGGGTCATCTCTAGAGGTTAGCCAGTGCCCTTGCTGACTAGAATAGGTTTTTACTCTCATAGAAAATTAGATTGAAATTTATGAAAGAGTTATGCCTTGTACCCCAATAGAGAATTTTACTTTCTTTCATTCTGATATTTTTGGTTGCAGTAATAAATGAAGTACAGCCATTGCGTCTTTGCAATCTACAGATAGTTTTTTTTCATTTTACTCTGATGCTTGCCTCCTGAGGACTCTGTTATAAGTTACAGCCCAGAGTTTGCATCTTCAACAAATAAGACAGTTCTAGAGACACCGGAAAACAGCCATTACAGGCATTTCACACTATAGGCATTTCAAAAAACAGACTCTTTCTTGCTCAGGCTTCTGAGTTGATATCATTTAGATAAATTTCAGACCTTAACAATGAACTGAGTCAGAATTTCCAAAACTTTTTTTGTTCTAGAGACTGGTGTCTTTGTGAGAGCAGACTGCTAACCAAGATTCAGCAAAGCAAAAACTAATTATAGAGTTCAGTGATTATGAGTTCAGTGATGGGACAAATATTATTATGGTTATTTGGTTGGAATGTTGTTGATGTTGTGTTATTGTTCTATTTCTTGGATATATGAGGAAGCTCTTTCTCTTCTTAAGCAATCTATAACCCACAACAATTTAGTAGACTGCTTTTATAAGCTGAAATAAAACATTTTATATGGTATTTGATTCTCATTGACTCCTTCAAATTCACAAAATTTTACTAAGTCTTCTTGCTTTTCATGACAATATAGTTATTTTCATGTCAATACAGTTATAGTTATACATTCAATAAGAATCTATCTGCCTTTGTACCAGGATATTACTGGACAAATTGCCTGGAATGTATGAATCGAGAATTATGTTCTTTTAATCAGCTCTGACAGGTAATTTTTATGGAAAATAAAGGTTTACTTTACATATGAAACCAATACCTGTTAAGTCCACCCAGGAAAATTGCCTGCTAGGGTCTTTAGGCTTACAAATGATAAGAAGTTCACTTAGGCAAGCCAAGAAACAGCCAGTTTTGAGGACTGCAAACAAAAGAAGAAATCATCTAATTTATAGGTACTGCAGAAGAAATTTCTTGAAGAGAGGTTTTGCGACTTGATTTCTTTGCCTCAGGGTAGCATAATAGAAGCTTTTGAGGTTCCAATCTGAGATTCCTTATGAGCTCTCCTAGTCAGAAGTTTATTTTGCGGCCTTAATTCTTAATGCTTAAGTTTGAATCTCAAACTCAAGGAAGCTCATGTGGTTGGTTAACACAGTTGCTTATAAGCTTTTCTCTAAAAGCTGGTAGTAAATATTTTAAGTGCTCAGCAGGACCAGGGGCAGGGTAAAGCGAGTGAGGTAGCAGTGCCATACCAAGGCATATTGGAGCCTGAAGCATAAGGAAAAATTAGTAATATTGATCTTGTTTTTGTTTAAAAATTTAACATTTGCACATTTTTAAAAATTTGACATTTTGTATATTTTTAAAAATTTCTTTCGATTTTTAAAAACATTGTCTCAAAGTATTATTCATTCATTATTCATTAGTTAATTTTTTGTTCCCTCTTAAATCTTGTGCCCGAGACAAGTACCTCAGTTGCCTCACCCTGGACCTGGCTTTGTTTCCTGAGTCTTCTGTTCTCTGTGACAACTTCTCAACTATGCCATTGTAGTGATAAAACAGCCACAAACAATATGTAAATGAATGAGCATAGCTCTATTCTGATAAATCTTTAAAAATAGAGACTGAAAATTGATTTTCATTTGTCACCATAAATTATTCATCTTTTGATTTTCTTTTAATCACTTAAAAATGTAAAAACTATTCTTAGCTGCAGGAGGTACACAAACAGGCTTGGGACTAAAATTGACCTATAGGCTGTACTTTGCTGACTTCTCCTCTTGCTTCACCTGTGTAAACAATCAAGCCAAACCTAATAAAACCAAACTTTTGTGTGTGGTTAACGATAACCTTTGAAATTATTATCACAAGGAGAGGAGACTGTCAGAAAAACTTTGTGAGACTTTAAAATGACAAAAGAAAAAATACTATTACTAGGTGTCCTCTGAAATGCTAGGTGTTGTCTAGCCCAATCTTCATCATTATTTGTAACTGTCATTGTCTCTGAGTAGTTTTGCCACTCTGCTACTTATAAATTGCTGGTAATGCAAATGATATTTGCTGGTGAAGATGCAATTGATTATTTCCCTGTGAATTTTTATCTATTTTTCATCTAGTAACGAATTCATTTTAGCACTCCTGATTGCCTCTATTTGTATCTTGTCTGCAGAGCCTCCTTAAACTGGCTTTTTATACTTTTCTAGTTTCCTTAATAATAATTTTTTTTTTTTTTAGGCGAGGCAACCCTTGGTTGACCCAACAGATTGCAAGGACCTTGTCAGCTGACAATCCCTTATTTTTTTATTCTATTTTTTTATGCCTACAGCACCTGGTCTTCCTAGGTGGTCTCCCATCCAACTACTAACCAGGCCCAACTCTTTAGCTTCCGAGATCAGACGAGATCAGGCTTGTTCAGGATAGCATGGCCATAGACTAGGTTCCTTAATAATTAAGTAAAAAAACATTCTTTAACACATGGTTATTTCATTTTTGTATAAGTTTCGTGATTTTGTCTTTTTAAAAAACGTGCCCTTTAACAATGAGTTAGGATAAACATAAGTCATTATAAAAGTCCAGTTCCATACCCAGGGAAAGTGAGGATAGCTCTTGGATTATTCATTAAACATTTGTTGATTTACCAATTGTGTGGCAGGGTGTTAGGGATACAAATAGGAATAAGGAAGACCAGTTCCTTCCTCCTAGAGTTCATGATCTGATCTAGTGAACTTCTTGGTCCTTCCTATTGATTGATTGATTCATTCACTCTCTCACACTACAAATATTTATTGAGAATTACTGTTAGTACTACAGCTTCTGCATGTAGATAAGGTCCTACTGTCATAATTTTTCCCCCTCAAATCTCTCCTTTTATTATCATGATTAATCTTTACTTGGAAAGCAAGCAGTAAAAACTATTCAGACAGCATCATTAGTTTCAGGCAAAAAGAGTGAGGGGACTTCTATACTTTTTTTTTTAATAGTTTGATTCCATTTTTATTTAAAGAAAATTTAAAGAATACAAACACATTTATGAGTAAGCACCAATTATTTGGGACTTCTATAGTTTCAAGTAAAAATAGGCACTGAAAGAGAAGCACCAGTTCCCAGGAAGGCTGACTTGACTATCTCTAGACAGCCCTAAAAGCAGATTAATTTATAACTATAAAGAGAATCATAATTTCTCATCACTAAAAGATTTGTAACAATTTACAAATAAATTTTTAACTATTCATTGTATTGGGAAAACTGCCTATATTATCCAAGGATTGCATATACTTTTTTAATGATGCTGTTATTGCTGAGAATGTTTCCTGAAATTCTTCTCTGGAATGGCCTTCAAATGTAGAAGTACACTATTATGAATACCTCAGTGTATACATTCATACATTTAAGGAGGACTTGGTTTTAGAAAGAGTCAAAAGTATTTTGGAAAAAAATTTGTTCTCATTGTATAGATATGAGGCAAAGATTCAAAAACAATGATTTATATGACCTCTTTTTCACCTTAACTCTCTTCCACAAGCAAAGTAGAAATCATCCAAAAGCCTTTTTAGCATTTGAAAGTATATAAAGTATTAAGTATAGAGTACGAAATGAAATTTCCATTTTAGTCCTTCCGATTTCTGTTCCTCTGCCTCATTTACCAGTGGGTATCACTATTAACAATAGGATGTGTATCAACACCCAATTATTTAGGAGTTTATAAAGATAAATCTATATACACTAATCATACATATGTTTAAAAACCTAGAATCAAGTGATACATATTTACCAATATTTTTCCTTTTACTCAGAACCATTGTGGGCATTTGATACATAATAATGGTGATATTTTAGATCAGAGTGTTAGCACTACACCTAAAAGACATCGTCTGGTAAATATAACTAACTCATGCCCACAGATTTTCACCTAGTTTCAATAATGATCAGCATTTATCATGTCTCCCTCCAAACTTTTTTTGCAGTACCATTTGAAAGTAAATACCATGATATTTCGCCTTAAATAGTTAGTATGCATCTCCTAACAAAAAAGGACAGTCTTCTATATAATCATGATACTGTTTTAAAAACTAAGAAAATTAAAAATAATTGGATACTATAATATCCAGTCCATATTCAAATATCCCCAATTTTACAATGATAATTTTCTTAGTTGTTTTGTTACATTATTTTAAGTCAGGATCCAACTTAGGTTCATATATTTCACTTGGTATTTTTGTTTTTCGGTCTCTTTATTTTTCATAATAAATTTTTGAAGAGTCTAGGTTAGATGTCTTATAAACTATTGTCCTATAGTGCTTTCTTTTAAATTCAGATTTATTGAGATTTATTTTATGCAATATAAAATACATCTTTTTTAGTGAAGTTCTATGATTTTTGACAAATTCATTCAGTCATGTAACCACAATCAAGATATAGAATACTCTTAACTCCCTCAAAAATTCCATTCTGCCTCTTTATAGTAAACCCTGTAATCTTCTGCCAGATCCTGGCAACCCCTGTTCTGTTTTCTCTTCCTACAGTTTTGCCTTTTTGGGAAAGTCATATAAATGAAACCATACAATATGCAGCCTTTTTTCTTCTTTTTTCTTTTCCTTCACATCGGACAGGTAATGTGCTGATGTTGTGACAAGGTTTGCAGAAGGCACATCTCACAAGAGTGTGAACACCCAATTTTCAAGTTTTTGAATTACTATATAGCCTTTTGAGTCTGATATCTTTCACTTAGCATAAAGTGTTAGAGATTTAATCAATGTGTGGATATACTCCAGTTTATCCATTCACCAAGGAAAAATTAATTGTGTGGGGGTTTTGACAATTATGTGTAATGCTGCTATAAATATTTGTATACAGGCTTTTGCGTAAACACGTGTTTGTGTTTCTCTTTGGTAAACACCTAGGATTGAGATTGCTGAATCATACGGTAAACTGTGTGTTTAATTTTATAAGAAACTGGCAGCATGTTTTCCTAGTGGGTGTACCAATTTGCATTTCTGCCATTAGTATATAAGAGTATTAGTTGTCCCACATCCTTTCCAACCTTTAAAATTTTAGCCATTCTAGTAAGTGTGTAATGGTATCTTATGAGTTTAATTTAAATGACCTTAATAAGCAATGATGTTGAGTCTTATGTTTTGGGACAGAAATGGATAGTTTCTGGACTGCCATTAGAAAGACCTTACTCTCAAAGCAATAAAGTTATTTTTCTATTGTCTTTTTGTTTCCTCCTTTCAAGGTTTCTCTTTTAGCTGAGGTTATAAACCAAGCCATGATGCCTGCCTCAGTCTAGTCAGAAGGCTGCCAGAATTTTTCCAATCCTGATATTTTTTACTTGCTTGTGTGTATTAAAATTTCTCTACCAAAGGAAGGGAATGAGTTAAAGTTAGAAGTTGTTCGGTACTTCTTGAAAATTATTTTCAATGGTAGCATACAAAAGAAGCTTTCTCTCTCTGTCTGTCTCTTTCTCTCACCTTCTTTCACACACACACACACATACTTATACACCTCACATAGTCTAAATAAACAGATGGCTTCCCAGAAAATGTATTCCATACCCATGTTTTATTTTAGAAACTATTATTTCCCCATTAACCCACCCTTCAAAGTTTCTATTTAATCATTCTCTAACTTGATCTTAGAGAATATTCCCAAAATGTACCTGAACGGGGTTATTAATTTTCTTCATAGACTATTCTCCAAAACTACATTTATAAGAAGACACTATGAAGCACTTCTCAATATTGTTGAGATGTAGTCTGGAATAGAAAGGCATAGTCAGAACTAAATCATTTTAGGGGTAAGGGAAGGTTGGTTGATAATGAAAGTAGATGAAGCATCATGAAATGGGCAATATAATTTAAAGTAGGTTTTGGGGTTAATTTCCCTTAGAATTAAAGTTCCTTTTGAAACAAATTTTCTGGAAGTTCTTTATAGATTCTTGTCACTTTCCAATGACTGTGTGGTCCACATATTCTTTTAGTAAAGATTCTGATACACTTTAGTTCCCTTAAGACTTCCAAAGTAATTTCCTTCTTTCATTTTTTTGAAATTATAAGAATGTGTAGAATGTTGTTGATAGGGAGAATATTATTTATCCTTTCATGGTTGACATATTAATTTTAGAAATAAAGTTCCTCTAGACCCACAACACATGAAAAGGGTACCTACTTATCACGATCAGCAGTTGATACCTGGCAATAAGTCAGGTGAATACCTTTGATTTGTAGTCCAATAAAGATTCAAATTATTCAAAATATACCTGATTCATTAATGTTTAGGGATGTCAATTTTTTAAAATAAATTTATTTATTTAAATTAGTTTCAAGTATACAGTACATTGGTTAGACATCTATAATGTTCATAAAATGATACCCCCAATTGCTCTCTCCCCCACTTAACCATCATATTAATGCTAACTGCATTCCCTCTGTCATGCTCCCCATACCCAACTATCAACTACTAATTTGTACTTCTTTAACCCTTCACCCCATTCTCCCAGCCTCCCAACCCCCCTCCCCTCTGTCTGTCACCAAATTGTCCACTATATTTGTGAGTCTGTTTTTGATTAGTTCGTTCTTTTTGTTCCTTAGATACCGCATATAAGTGAAATCATATGGTATTTATCTTTCTCTGTCTGACTTATTTCACTCAGCATAATAACCTCTAGGTCCATCCATGTCATTGCAAGGGATGTCAATTTTTATAAATATGAAAGAAAATAGGATGAAATACTATAGTGATTTGTCAGGGAAAACCACTGGCAAAACAATAAGAATTGGGAAGAAGCTCTGACTCCCTGTATTCTTCCCCAAGACACACACACAGACACACACATGCACGCACGCACACACACACTTCCAGAATAAGACTGAAATGAATATATAAGGTAGTGGTGAAAGGAAAAGAATATACAAAGGACAGCATGCTTCCGTAACAGTGGTTCTCAAACCTTTGGAACCAATTACCCTGGAGCGGGCAAAAGACCCTAATATTCATATTGTATTTATTTCCATTTTTCTGGTGGGAGTGAGAGCAGCAACTTAATAAAAAATGTTGCTAGACAACCGAATTTAGAAGAGATTATGTTTACATTTACTTTGAAAATTGGGTTTTAGACAATATAATTTTTAATCCTTGTACCTTTGTCTTAACATATAGTTAGTGGAAATAACAGACACCAAATAGGGTTGCATTTGCATCACTATATATTGTAGGCATAACTCAACAAAGACACAATAAACTAAATTAAAAATGATTAACAAACAGCAATATATCATTAAAAAGCAAGTAAAACAATTGAAACTCAAAGCTACTCAAGATAACACAGCTGATATAATTGATAAAATATCCTTCCAGAATTTGACACTTATGCAGTTAAAGAGAATAGATTTCCAAATCATTTCTTCCATTGCTTTCACAATTAGACTTTTACGTATGACTTTAACTTTCTATTTTTAGAGAGGAAAATAATGTTTTACTATCCCTTTCTATATCCAAGGAGGATTATTCACTCTGAGTCGTGACAAGGAACAATGCCTGATGACTTGACTAAAGAGGCAACAGAAGGCAATAAGTCTCATAATCCAGGGATTAATAACATCAACAGTATCAGACACAGGACCGGAGGAGAGGTGAGAGTTGCCATTCCTGCATCACCACACCTTCCACTCTTCCTCAGTCTGGACCTGTTTCCTCGTGTAACTTAAATGGTTGTTTGAATTCATCCAGATTATGGATCCTGGTTATAATCATTTATTCTCTAGAATGGAGATGAAATCTGTTTTATATAGGGAATGGATTGGGAAGGGGCAGCCTGCTACTAGTAATCATACTGGGGAGTAGAGCAAACTAATTTGGAGCATTAACATTTAGTTGTTACAATGATACTACAAATTGTCAACATGTAGAATCGTGGCTTGCCATTTCTGAGTCACTTAAAGTAATTTAATGATCTGGCCATTCTTTGTTTATTACGAGCCAACATGTAAATATTTTAAAATTATATAATAAGAAACCCGATTGTTATTAAACTTAGGAGGAAAAACAGGAAATTGGTCATGGAGACACGTGCAACTTAATTCTTCTTTCTAAAGACCCTGTTTTACCAGTTGAAAATGAGAAAATATCAGTTATAATATAGGATATAGCTGGGCAAAGAATTGAGGGAATATAAATGGTAAAACATCTTTGTGTTGTATTAATTTCATTTAAGTAGAGAAAAAGATAAATGCACATTTTCAGCACACACACACACAAAAATTAAATAAACACCTACCTTGGCCTCAATTATCTCATTAATTTGTATAAAAGTAGGAGAATAATGAATTTTCTGTTTTAACTCCTTGTTAATTGTTTCCTTTCATGAGCTTGAATTAGTCTTTGGAGAGTTATGGATAATTGATTGTTTTGCTTTCTCCTATTAAATTATATCAGGTCTTTGTTTCACGGGTTGGTGTAGGAATACGTTTTCTCTTCCTGTAAAAAGTTATCACGAATGTAGTAATATAAAACAACACCTATTAATCATTTCATAGTTCTATGTGTCAGAAGTCCTGTCATAGGCTCAACTGGATTCTCTGCTCTGGTCTCACAAAGCTAAAATCAAGGTGTCAGCAGGGGTATGCTCCCTTTTGGAGTTTGGGGTCTTCTTCTAAGCTTATATATTTATTGGCAGAATTCACAATTCCATAGGATTGAGGGGCAGCCCCTTGCTGGCTAACAGCAAGGGGCTACCCCTCAGTTCCTAGAGCCCTACTGTTTTCTGCCTCACAACCCTATTAACAAGGAGTTTGCTTCTTCAAGGCCAAGCAGTAAAGCACCTGCTCCTACTTTGGCTCTCCTTGACTTCTAGACCCTCTTTAAAGAGCTCACCTAATTACATCAGGCCCAACCAGGATAATCTCCCTTTAAAATGCAGCAGATTAGCGACTGACTATAGGTATTGGTGATTCTACAGTAAACAAAGTAGGGCTTAATTCTGATGGAAGTGATAATCAACTAATACTGAAACACCACAACTGAAGACTGTGGTAGCTGCTGTGCAGGAAATGAAGAGGGTGGTTGGTGTGACAGAGTAACTAGGGAAGAGCTCTTCCCTAGTGATATTTGGGCTGAGACCTGGAAGATAACCATGCATTCATTAGTCAAGAGGAGAGCTGAAGGAAGAACAGTCCAAGCAGCAGCTGGACTTTTATATTATGTTTGAAACAAAGTGTTCAAGAATACAGATTGTTCTCCTGAAGGGAATTCTCTAAAAGCTTGTTTTCTTTACTATCTTTGGCTTTGAGTATTTTGGCAAAAACGTAATTCGATAAGGAATTAAATTTATTGAACACTTGGGGTGTTGCATGCTCTCTGGATTCATAACAAGTCCTCTGCCCTCAGAGTGCCCTTCTAGGCTATCCATCGAACCTATCACAATCAGTGGGATCAATGGCATGTTAAATGTGCTTTATTTCTGTCATCGGTCTTATAGGATGTTTTAGCAATTTATAACAACCATCATTACCCAACTGCAAGCATTAAAACCTTTAATATATGTGTCCATTTTTATAGGCAAATGTGAATTTCAAAGTGAGTAAATTGTATGTCAGCAAAGAAGAAAAGGCTTTTCTTTTAAACTGTTTTCGACATTTAAAATTTATATACTGGCTTTCACTGTCAATGTATGTCATACCCCAGGTTTGAATTTTATTGAAA